AAGTAAGGTTACTAAATGGGGAAACTTAGCTAATAGGTATGGATTATGGATTGGTTTTTTGGGTTCTTTTTTTCTGGTTTTTTTTTTGGGGGGGGTGATTTCCCAAAATTGAATGTGGTGATGGTTGCCTAAGTCTGTGAATATACTAAAAAACATCAAATTATGTAACTTAAATTGGTGAATTGTATTATATATAGATCATGGTGTCAACAAAACTTATTTATAAAAGTAATAGCAAACTTCCGCAGCACTTCTGCTATATTTTCAGCCTGTTGTCGCTCCTTTTGGAGGACATTCATTCAATATGAAGCTTTCTAACCAAGTATCCAAATTTAATGATCCTCTGACCCTTTCTCCATTAAAGATGACTCAAAGGGATGAAGGCATTTGCTCATGATTACAGTTAGGTAGCAATAACTTAAATAAAAATATTCCCTCCCCTCATCAGACTTTTGCCAATACCCAGGGGATTTCTTGTTTGTTTCTTATGAAATGGATTTGCACCTTCTGTAATTATCTCCGACAATCCTTTTATATTATGACCAGCATCTTTCTAAAATATGTATTACTTATTTTTTCAATACTTTGTCTCAATATATAAACTAACTGTCTTATTCCTTGGCCATTTTTTTTTGTTTTTGTTTTTTGTTTTTTTAAGAGTAGAATAGTCTCACTCTCTGTGTTGGAGTTAGGTGTTGAACATTCAAAACCCAACCATTTAAAACATTTAGATAACTTTAAAATTTTAATATCTTTATAAAAATTGAAGAATGAGTAGAAAATACTTAATGAATGCATATAACAATTTTTTATTTCTTTCTTTGCTTCCTTAGGAGTGGTCCTTCAGTCAATGGTACTTAAAAACATATTTCCAGATGTCAATTGGAAAATAATAATTTGGGCAGCCTGGGTGGCTCAGCGGTTTAGCGCTGCCTTCAGCCCAGGGCAAGATCCTGGAGACCTGGAATAGAGTCCTATGTCAGGCTCCCTGCATGGAGCCTGCTTCTCCCTCTGCCTGCTTCTCCCTCTGCCTGTGTCTCTGCCTCTCTCTCTATCTGTTTCTCAAATAAATAAATAAAATCTTTAAAGAAAAAGGAAAGTAATAATTTATGTCATTTTCAGTAATCCTATGGTGGGTAGTTATAGTTACATCTGATATTTGGATCAATGAAAACAATTCCTCCAAGGTCACCCTCTTGACTTCATAATCAAAGTTCCAAAACATGATACCTATATGGGAATTCACAGATCTCTCACTGGTGATAGTCTGATGAATTATCCATTGAAAGATGGGATCAGTTCCCCACCTCTAGGGAACTCTAGGTTTTCATTTTCCTCTTTAATTCTTCTGGGAATAGCTCTCTTTCTGTATATTCCATCCTTTTGCTTTAATCACCCTCTCTTGTTTTCCTCTCACCCATTTCCTGAACAATCTCCTTTAGTACCCTGTCTTCACGTGTGAACAATTCATGTTAGCTTTTACTTAGAGGGTGTCACATTTTCTCTCTGAAATATTGAGGACCAACTGTATTCCACATTTAGAAATAAAATAACTGAGACATAAAGATCATTAACAAAGTTATCATGGTTAACATTAAGTCTAAACATAGAGTCCAGTTCTTATTTGAGATCTACCATGGACTTCCAAGTTATACTGATCAATACACACTTAAAAACCAGGCTCAGATTTCACCAAATCAGACAGAAACACTGAAAAGCAACTGAATGGACTACTGTAGTATTTAAAATCTATGATTGTATGTCATGTAAAATATTTTTTCCGTTAAGCCTACTTGTGGTTAGGGTGCACACATTTTAACATTTATTGAAGGGTGCCCACTAACCCAGGTAAATTTTGCAAAATCATCTCAAGTAGAAGATATAGCTTCTTCCCTTGATGTCACAGTATGTTATCCATAATGGCACCTAGCATTTTTCTGCCTCATATCTTCATATTCAGATCTATATCTGAATCTTCTTTTTTTCCACAAATGGCAATAGGCAATTCATTTTCACCCAGTAAAACTCAGTATTTGTTGCAGGAAGATATGTTCCTATCTTCTTTATGGGGTTGTTGCAGAGCTGTGACATAGGTTTCAAAGTGGTCATTAGTTTCTGAGCTATGAGCACCTGAACTATTTTCCTTTTTAACTAAACTAGATAAGAATAATTGTTATTGTCAGAATTAGGAGAGAAACACTCTCCTTGCAGTCTTTAGATGAAACCCAATTACTATAGAGGGCATATTTCAAAAGTCCATAAATTACTACATGCTACCATTTTTCAATGCTTTCCTTATCAAACATGTACTTTAGAGACCACATTGAACAAAAAAGATCCATGGATTTCTCTTAAATAATAGACTGCAAGCATCACAAGTGAAAAGTGAACAATCTGCCTGATAGGAGATCCACCAATTTAAATGAAATCCAGATCCCTGAAGAACTCAGAAATCCATGAGAAAAAAAAATAATTTTGTCAACATAATACTAGCCTTTCCCTAAAGACACATTTTTGCTTTACGAAGTTCACGGACATTTCATACAGTGAAAGATGAGACTTTGTAAGGGCCTGACTACCGGCATAGAAAAAGCAAATACATATTTAAAGCAAATAATTTAATGCATCCCATTTTTAATAATTTATTCACAGCAATATATTTAAAAGAATATAAAGTGAAGAATTTAAGTGAAGAATTATTAGCTTACTCTAATTCTTGCAAACAAATTTGGTTAAAGTAGAGGAAGGAGGTATTACATTGATTAATGGACTGAACTCTGTTATCAAACCTACATTTTAATTCATGCCCTACTACCTATGAACTCTGAGACAGTGGACAATTTGGGCAACCTCTTTCTGTTATAGTTTTCTCATATGAAAAATAGAGCAAATAATTTGTATCTACCTAATATGATTCTGTGACTCAGGAAAAGGTAGTGCTTATAAAGGGTTTAGTAGAATACTGGTACAGAGTTAAAAGTTCTAGATATCTTCATTATAGAACTATCATACAAGAGCAGAGATATTTGAAGTTTTGCAGGTTTCCTTATTTCAATTTCCTTCCAAAAATATATTATTCACAATAGTAATCTCAAGCCACAGTTACTAATTTAGAAAATAATCTCATTACAAGCAATACATTTAAGTTTTAATTTTTAGGAAACATGATTCGTTCATATAAGACCAAAAGTTTTAATATTACCATAGAGAAGGGGGCTACTTCCATAACCTTGGGCAAAAATTAATTTCCTATATCAAAGGACATTATCTCCATCTATTTTACTCTATTAAATAGGCTGGGGGATGGAAGTAGAAGTAAGGAGTACTTACAGAAAGGAAAAGGGGAAAAGGACACTCTCCCAGCTGTCCAACTTAGCAAATGAAACCCTTGTATCAGTTTAGTACCCAAAGTGGAGCTATATTATCCTCCCATCTGAACTAACTTTGAATATATGCACAGAACATATATTTTAACCAATAGAAGATTCAGATGGTTATCAGCAACTGGAAAGCAGTCAATTTCTCAAAAGGTGGCAGAGATCCAGGGGACAAAATCAAGTTGAAAAATAAAATTCCAGTTTTGAGGGATTGAAGGTAGAAGGGAAAATGGAGACTGCCAAGAATCCAACCCTTCAGAGACACCACATGAGGTCCAAAGCAGAAGTGCAGGCATGGAGGCAACAGAATTTTGGTAAAAACTGGGTGTTAGTATAGTATCATATAAAGTCATTCAACAATAAGACTCAAAAATTGGACCTTCCTAAAAAAAAAATGGACATTCTTAAATTCGTCCTGCCTGCCTAAAATAAGGATTAGCCTGACAATAGTGACCAAGTTACTCCTAGAGGTGGGAAGCCAAATGGCTCCAATTTGGGGAGACAGACTTCAATGTCTGATGGCCCTCATCCTCGAAGGGAATGGCTTTGCAGAATACTGGGCAATGGAAAGAATACTAGCAGCATCTAGTGGTCTTCCTATGGACCTAGGTCTATGGTAGAAAAAATGAGATCCTAAATAAACATGGTGAACTATTGACGGACTTCAATGGGTTTCTCATTTCTCGAGAAATAAGGGCAATTGACTAGACTACCATGTTCAAAGCATTGTGGGGAGAACATAAACAAGCATAAGATATCCAAATAGTTTAGAATAACTATATTCCTCCAGCCCAGGTGTCCAGTTAAACCAAAATCAGTAACATACTACTGAATATATAAACCTTTTCTATATTTTTGTCAATCAATATATAGAACTAATGTTCTAAAGTAATGAAGAATTAGTTTTAAGAGAACATATGACATTTCCTGCCCTCAAGGTAGATATGACTCTATAGAGCCTGCTTAGATTTTACTACTAGACCCATACCTGGAATTTTTAAGCCACCTTCTCACAGGAGAGTTCTATATCATAACGTTAAATGGGAGGAAATTTTTTTACTATATGCTATTTATTGACCTGTCTAAATCATTTACCCTATGTCTATGGTGATCAACATATGGTTTATCTAAATATATCTGAGGAGCTATTGAAATAAATCATTTGGAAGAATTGTCTATTGAGGAGGCAACTCTATTGACAATTTTGCCAAATATCTGTGCAATATGGGACATCAGTGTATTTTTTCAAAGGAATGCACATTTAACAAAATTGTCAAAATGATCTTAAAAAGACAGAAGTAGCTTCTTGAAAAAGTAGCGTTTGATAACTGAAAAAAAAATCAACTAAATAAGCTCCCCTTTAAAGGTAGAAGAGAAATGGCCATTATCTGAATTCTCATTCACATGGTTTTAAAATATTAAGGAGGTAGTTAAATCTTATCTCTACTATATTAGAATTTAGCTTTGATAACTAAGAAGCATCCCTTTTTTGAATGCAGCCTAGTTGCAAGTTTGTCTTTAAAGCCTTTTAGAAGGCAGTTCTTTTTATTCACAGCTCACTTCTCTTCTTTTCTTAATTAGTAGCTTGAATGTGATTTCCTTTTTTTTTTTTAAATTGAGCAGGCTGTGCAGCTAAATGGTGTTTCTGACATTCCTGCACTGGGGACAGATTCACAACTAAGGCAGAAGACAATAGAGATTGACTACATACTTCATGGACACAAATCGAGGGAAATGCTGGTAAATACAGGAATTCGGCAACACTTTGTCTCTTGGCATCTGTACTTGGAAAAACAATGAAATAATCATGGACAAATATGATGGGAAATGTGTTTATGGAGCGGCATGTTTTATTAACACAGAGCACTGCAGAGAGATAAGCACCACCAGCTAATTTTAAAATTTCTATGAACTGTGGCAATTAAGCCTAATAATTATTTAAAGACTACAATAAAGATGAGTCCCTTTGTATTGCGTTTTAAAGAAAAAAATAAATACAGTGCTAAAGTCCAGTTTAAATGAGGTACCACCTGTATAATTTCATACTTTTTCTATCTCATATGATTCCAAAGTAGAAATATCTCCTGACACATTGATCTCAAACTTAAGGATCTCTTCAGTTTACATTTTGTTTCTTTGCTAATTTGGGGTATTATTGCTGCTGCTGCTGCTGTTGTTGTTGTGAAGACTATTTTGGGGGGTCTTTTGTGCTTTAGATGTTAATTTTATAGAATGTTGCTGAACACCATGGTGGCCATCAAAAAACAGTGAGTCTAACTGAACAAAGCACTGAATGTATTGACTGTTTCTTCATCAGAATAGTCATTTTTCCCACTACAGATTCTTTCTAAGTAACAACAAAAAAGCCACTGATTGTTTTTAGTCCTTTGATGGAAAACCAGGGAGGCTTATTAGAGCCTTGAGCAGAATGCAACTTCTCCCACTGCATCAACCCAAAGATAATAGATTCAGACTGGATATCAAACCACCGCAACTTGCACTGAGGCTTAAAAACATAAATAGACAAGACATTGAATTATCGGTCACTAATCCAGATTTATGTTAAGGAAAAAATTATTATATTTTAGCTTGATTTCCTACAGGGGAGACAAGACATTTCTATTAATTAGTATCCTCTATTTTCTCTCCTCCATATTCTTGTGCTATATTTTGCAATTCATTGTCATTTCCTGAGTAATTTTACTTTTTTTTCCTGAGTAATTTTAAGAGATAAACTTGCATATTTTACTTTGCAGCATGAGAATAAAACACAAAGAATAGCTATTCTCTGAGTATAAACCAGGGAACGCCAAGCTTCATTCATCTCTGTTCTTTCCTAACAGAGAAAGTTTATTATGGCATTTATACTGAAAAAAAATTATTCATTGTATTTGGTATAGAAAAGAGATGTTGCCAATATTTATTTCTGAGCCAAAGTTCTGTCAGCAGGAATGGAGTATGATTGCCTCCCCCGCCCATAACAAAAACTCGGATGGGTTGATTTGCAAGACTCTGTCTATTGCTTGTGTTCTTCCTGCATTCTCAGCAAGATTATTCCAGAACATTGGTACATATTCCATAGTTGCAAAGACGCAATTTCTCATTAGAACTGTAACTTGATAGAGAACCATATTACAAAGGAATATGAAAAGTAGATTGTGCCAGTAGCATATTTTCAATGCCTCTCCTTTTTATTGGCATCCACATAGTTGAAGAGGAACAGAGCTGGCTAGCCCTGGGCAAAAAGAAGTTGGAAATCTAAACCAGCTTCTTTCTGTGCTCTGTAATCCCCTGAGTCATGAATTCTCCCAAGCCTCCAAGACCTTGACCCCCCCCATAGACATATACCTCAAATTTCCTTTCCTCTTTGTTTCAGGTCAAAGACTAACAGCAATTTTTGACTCCCAGGACAAATGATTTTAAGTCAAAGAACTGATTTTTCCTGAGATATCTGCATTTTCCAAATTTCTGTTTGTGAGACAGAAAAACCATCCCCAATTAGGGAGAAAGTAAAACGTACTGTTCAAGGACAAAAGGTAAGGCTGTGAGAGTGGAACAAGATAGATTTTGAGGGTAAGAAAGGCAAATCTTTTTGTTTTGTCAAAATTGTACCAGCCACCTCTCAGAATCTGTTCTAAAGGTAAGCTTGATTCAGTGCTATTGGAAGAATGGAAGGAAAATGTGCAGAAAAATCATCATCCTGGGAAGGCCCACACACTTATTCTTGGGCTCCAGAAACCTTGATGCACTTGTTTCCACTAAAAAAAGAAAAGAAAAGAAAGGAAGGAATGGAGGGAGGAGGGCCGAAGGCAGGCAGAGAGGGAGAGAGGCAAGAAGGAAAAAGGGCATTCCTGGCTAGGGACAATGAGTGTATGAAAGCCAAATGCAAGGATTATCTGTTACTTCCAATCCCACTAGACCAGGATTCCCACATCTTACTCAGAATTTAGGTCCTAATGTCTGTTTATATAGGGGAAATCATGGAGAATCAGCCATCAACAACTCTGCTTGATGATAATCTTTTCAGTAAGTTCAACACTGACCCAGGGTTGTTTTTTCTCTCTAGTCTTAAAAGCAGATTACTATCTCTTAGCTGAGTACTAGATGAAGTAAGGGAGGTATGTTATATAAAATATATTTGCTTGGATCCTTCTCAGGGCCATGATATGCCTGCACTGTGAAAGGCATGCAGCAACTGAATCTGAGGGAAGTAGAATGTCATTTCAGGTCACGACTGAGTGCAACAGTACTGAGTGAATTGGCCACCACAATTGTTCACGGTGATGGAATCAAGAATACAGGCAATGAAGGTCACTTGTTAATTCTAGGAATGAAACCACTGGTGATCCAACATCAGTACAATTGTGAAAACAAAGGGTGAGTTAGGAGCCACCAGTCCTACATCTTTATTCCATTGGCATCTCTGCCCTTGTTGGGTGAACTTACAAAAATAATCATACTCTTCAGCCCTGTGTTTCTGTAGTTATGAAATAAGGGAGTTGCACGAAGGACCACTTCATAAAACCATAATCTGAAATTAAATTACTACATAATTAAGTAATATAATTGATAACCTATACAGCCTTGCCACAGGCAAATGTATAGTATCATTTATTATTCTTGAAATATTAAAAAAGCAAAGACTTCATTAGTAGGAGTAGTACTAATACCACTATACCTATGATTACTACAATTTGAATGAAGCTGACTCTTTCCTGAGTGCTTACTACATTCCACACATCCTGCTAAGTGAAATATACTTAATATCAAGCTCCATCAGCCAAAAGCTGCACAAATGAGACACAAACCTTATGCCAACTCTCCTCATGACTCCTCATGGCTGTATTATGCTAGATTCGCTGACCATTAGGTGGTACTATCACATCTATATATCTGTGAACTCAGACCAGAGAGTGAAAAATCACTCTGACCCATTATTCCACCAAGTGCCCTCTTCAGTTTGAATACTGCATCTCCATTTCTTTATTTGAAAAATGAAGTTTATGTAGCTTACCCATAGCTCCTTCAAATGCCTTAAGTATCCATTAAGTCACTGCCCTGAAGCAATAAAAAACCCAACTTCTGAGAATTAACTATATGAACATAAGGTAATGAAGCCAACTCAATTATCCATGGTAAAAGATGACAAGGAAAAGTAAGACTAAATTAAATACACAGGTGTCCCCAAACCATATTTTTGCCATTCACCTACACTCTAAACTAGAGCTAATAAGTTGCCAAAGAGATAGATTTGAATTTTATCACTTTCTCTCTCCACCCCCTACTCTTGTCTGGTTCAAGTCCTAACGGGCAGTCAACCACCCTTTAAAAGGCAGGAAAAGCAAAGGCTGGACTGTGCAATCAATAGACTGGATAATTAGCCCCTGAGTAATTGAGAGTTAACAGTCTTATATTAACTTCACCCCATTACTCCCAGAATATGAACAAGCCAGAGTGAGTTGGACACGAATATGAGGGAGCAGAAGAAGAAAAAGAAGGGTGGTAAAGGGAATGAGTTATTTACCTTGAGGTTATCATATGATGTGAACTATAATGACACAAAACCAGCTAACAGCAGCAGCCTAGCAGAGTGACTCCAGACATGACAAGATGGTCCACAAGAGCTGTAAGAGAGTTGTTTCCCCTCAGCACCACATTATTTTTCCTTTTCTTCCTACAACAAAAGATTCACTCTAGGCTTTGGCTGTGTTCCCAAAAGATTGGGTAATTAAGCAGGTAAGATTTCCAAGGAGAAATAAATATTTTTCAGTTACTAGACACTGTCATTGGGCTTTGATTCAAATGTGCATAATTTTTGAACAGGAAACACAATGAAAGGAATGTTTCACGAATTAATATAAAGCCCAAAGGCATACCTGGCACTCTCTTACATGAAATCATTGTCTTTGATAAGCCAGGAATGTCGACCAAGTATCCGTCTTGGAAAATCCTTTCTCCCTGTAATATTAGCACTGGTTTTACGGAAGGAAAGCTCAACTTGAAGAAAGCTGCTTATAAAATATGACCCGAGCATGTCTTTTTTCTATGTTTAATGGCCTTTTAAAATACAATGACTTTCATTTCAGCATTATCAGTGAAAGCAGTGCTGCTTCTTCAGAGGTTGAGAAGCTAAAGAGAAGGGTTAAGTGACCTGCATGATTTTACAGAGTGACTAATTCAAATTAGAGCTTTGGATGTAGAGTGCTGGGCTGTAGGCCCAGAACCCCGAACTACTATTTTCTAAAAATAATGTGAAACACTGAAAGGTAAAATGGCTTAAGATGATGAAGAAATTCCCTCAAGTATCATTTCAACTATGGAAGTGAAAATGAGTCAAGCACTGGTTGAATGACAATGTTAGAGTGTTGAAAAATGACCAAGTCATCACTCGGAAGATGGAATGACTTCCTTCCCTTCCATGATGATAGCTTTAGGATAGTCATTCTACACGCTCTTGTCTGTTCTTCCAACAGCGAAGAGTAAGATAATGGCTAGACCACGTGATGGAAGATACTTTTAGGGAAATCATTTTCATTTTCTAGAAACTTGACTTTGGAAATTTATTTATTTTTTTTGACTTTGGAAATTTAAAGTAACGTGATAAAAATATATTTATGAATCTCATTCTATGCAGAATATAAAATAACACAAATATTAAAAATTAAACACATTCGGGATTGCCTAATTTCTAAACGATGGTGACTGAATATAAATCATAAATTCATTTCATTTGGCAAATATTCCTGTTATCTGAGCAACATATTTTTATGTGTTTAAACACTTCTATTAATGATTTGAGT